GGCCTGGCAATTAAAGAGGAGACACTGCTAAGGAGCAAATGAGACAAGGAGGGAGCCCTCGCCATCCCACCAAGGCACTGGCACAGCTTCGCTGCACAGCTGAGGACCRCAMAGCAGAGTGATCACCTCCTCCCCTGCAGCTCACCTGGGGGGTTCTGTGGGTTCTGTGGGTTCTGTGGGGGCTGAGGCACTTTGCAGTGTGCTTTTCTTTGCCTCAGATGAACTTTTGGGTTTCGTTGTGGAACCATCCAAGGGAACTTTAGGGCCCTCTGTGGAGGTCTGGTTTTCCTGTGGAGACTTGTCTTTGCTGGCTGCTTTCCCCGTCGTTGGCGGGCCCTTGGCAGAACTGTCCTTCGCATCTGCGCTCTTGGCATAGAGGGAGAGAGAAAAGGGAGGAGTGAGYCTTGTCCTGAGACATCCCCATCCTGGAAAGCAAAATGAGGATTTTTTTAACCAACAGAAGAGAGAAAAAATAAGTAAATAAGTCCACCTGCCCATGGACTTAGTCTTCCTTATTGGTCTTTGTTTTGCCTAGGGTGTCACTTCTCACTCAGGAGCCTCTCCGCAAAGGAAGTTGATGGTTTTAAGTGATTTTTCCCCTCCTATCTTACAGAACTGCTCTGTCTTCAGCAGAGCTGTCTCTTTTGTCCCATCTCTGACAGAAAGAATACCTGCAGGGGCCCTATCCCATCTTGACTGCCTCTCCACGGTGATCCTTTCCAATCCACCCTGCCCGCAGTGCCCTCATCCAGCCTGGTACCTGCCCTGGCACCTTCAGTGCTGGCACCACAGGAGCACTCACCAGCTCCTCTTCTACAGCAGCACCTTCTGGTGAGATGATAGTGAAGGGCTTGGCGCGCATTGCAGAGTCCCAGCGTCTCTCTGGGTACTGGACCAAGGAGAAAGTAGCAACAGGGGGGAGGGGAGGCCCAAAGGGATCCAGTCCCAGAAACTGCAGCATCTGAAACAGAAGAGGAAATCCTGTTTACACTTGTCACCTTCATCCTCACACTCCTTCTCTACAGGCGCTGAGCTTTTGGCAATGGGGTTTTTGATTTATATGGAATGTAAGTGCTTTTATACCCAGTGAGGTGAGCAGGCTCCAGAGCAGAGGCAGGACCTACAAGTGGGACCATGAGAGAGACAGACTTTCCCCTGAGTGACTCAGCTGAAGAAAACAACAGCTACCCGGCTCTGGGACTATTTTTAATGAGTTCCAGGCTGGGAAAGGCTGAACAGATGGGATGCTTGTACACAGAGCACTCTCACTTTGTGTGCATCTGAGGGATGGTGATAACCTTCCCATCCACGTGGATTTTACAGAGCCATTATGGAGCATCATCAGGGGCCTAGACAAGGCTCTGTGCCTTTACCACCTGTGGGGACAAAATGCTCCAGGCCCAAGACCATGGCAAGCTCAGGATCTGAGCCTTGCAGGGTTTTACCTTCTCTGCTGTTGGCAGCTTCCTGCTCTTCAGAATCATCCTAACCATGGTGTCAGGATCTGTGGCCCGGATCTCCAAGCAGGGCACTCCGACATGCTTAGGTCTGTCTGCCTGTTTTGGAACTGTGCTTTCCATCTCCTGCCCCTGCTTAGATGACTGAAGACTCTTCTGGCCTCCAGGTTTTCCCACAGGCTTCTTCTCCACCTTCTCCGGAGGCTTACTAGTTTTCTTCTGGCCTTGGCGTTTGACTGGAGACTGGGGCTTTTCTTCCCTTTGGTCCTCAGCTGAATGCACAATACCCTGAACCCTATCCCAGCAGGAGAAAACCTCTCTGACATTCTGCTGTGATGATTCATAAATTTCAAACCTCTCCATCAAGTACTTCATCTCAGCTTGAACTTTTTGGGGTTTGGTTTTCTCCATCATTGGGATTTTGTCTGCCCCCTTTATTCGGATTCTAATTTTTGGCATATTTAGCGTTTTGCTTCTTAGCATCTTTAAGATTTTGTTTCTCAGCTTCTTTCGGATTTCCTGCTTCTTTTGCATTTTTTTTTTCCACATCTTTCGGATTTTGAATATCGGCTTTTTTTGGATTACGTATGTTATCTTCTTTCGGACTCTGTGTATCCCTATGTTTTGGAATTTGTCTTCGCTTTTCTTTTGGATTTTGCCTTTCCTTATCTTTTTGATTTTCTTCTTCTTTGAGGATTTGGTTTTCTTCTT